AAAAATCATTTAACGATATACTTCATAGTTTCTTTTATTATTGTTTATCAGTTTGGAAGTTTGAAGAAGGCGTATTGAAGATTGTTCACATCTATGAGGGGAACGATGAATACTTGACCTCTTGCGCACTCCTTTCGTTTTCATATTTTCATATTTCCCATTCTTTTGTAAATCGCAAACGGTCTTTTGCGCATACGGACGCTTTACGAGCCGATATAAGGGAAGGCCTACTATTGCATCTACCACCATCGCCAGTGGGTGTGGTCCGAGGCAAAGTAATAAAACCAAGATTTTCATTACTGCTCTCCAGGATTGGCCGGCGCATTTCCACGTGAAGAAATGACGCGCATGTCAATCTGACAAATATCTGTTAGCAGGCATTTAACATTATTAACTTAAAATACTGCCCCAAGACACACACATGCGTAGATGCATGTATTTATGCATGTACAGGTGGAGTAATGGATAAAGGTTCGGAAAGCGAAATGGGAGAGTCGAGATCGAATTCAAGTCAAGTGTGTTATATTCACTTTCATGCAAATACCCTTGGGAAATATATGTATCCTTTTCTGCGGGTCCTACTAGATATAGGTTAATCAGTAGTGCAGACAAGATTGTTATACTTGCCAACAAGTCTTGTGGGACATTTCTGAATGTAAAAATTCAAAATGGTTGCTCGGAGACAATGTGGAACCATATATGTTTTAGATTTCTCTATTCAATTTTGTCCGGAAAGTTTGGTGGCATTTGTACATTTCTTTGCCAATACACCAAAACTGCAAGAAGTCTCGCTGTTTGATTCCAGATCTGTGCTATTTTACCTCCTTCCATCGAAAACGAGAGAAGAATATATATATATATATATATATATATATATATATATATATATATATATATATATATATATATAAGCAAATATAAATGGATATAAATCCGACAGAATAAAAAACAAGCATACATATAAATTTTAGATCATAATAGAATGCTTGTTTTTTAGCGAGATTAATGCTCGACAAGCATACATATAAATTTTAGATCATAATAGAATTCTTTTCATTTTCATTTTCATTTAAAATACTCAAATTTTACGAATACGTTTTGAAAGTGTCGCCCATTTGACGACAACGTGACCACGCTTAAACGGAAAGCTGATCATTTAAAATTTTCAGTTATCTCTTTTGGATAAGACTTGTTTTTATGTCCATCGTCTTCGTCAAGTTAAACTGATTATGTTAATTGTATTTTAATGAATATTGTCCTGAAGAAGGTTTATTAAACCGAAACGTCAGACGTTGACATTTCATTCATATTAAAACCACATAATTGCATTTAAAGATTTTTTTGTTTATTTTTTCCAAATATTTTTTTCATATATATATATATATATATATATATATATATATATATATATATATATATATATATATATATATATAGCAAACAAACTTAGGTAATCCGTACTGTCTATGAATTTTTCCAATCGACTGTTTCATAGAAAATATCTAAAACTCCACCGAATTTCAAATTAATTTCTTCGTAGATTGTTTAGACATTTAGATATTTATCAAACCATAACCTCCCAAATATGCACGTTAAAGTAACGCAAATTAACAGCGTCTAAGAATTTGAATGAAACCTGTCGTGTAATTGATTGGGGTTGTTGTAGCTTCTTCCTTTAATATCGGTTTTATATCTAGAGACGAGTCGCGTTAAATTTGAGCAACATCTAGCTGACACACTGGGAAAAAAAATAGGAAATTGAAATGATACTTTTATGACACACTCATATCCTCTCCCACCTCACTTCCCCACTTCGATAATTTTACGTATACTTGATGAGGTCCGTCAAAAACGTGTGAATTTCTTTTTCATTTTCATTTTCAGCTTTTGGAAGTAAAGTCTGATGATCCAGAACCCTGTTAAAGGGGGTTATGGTGAAATAACATATATATGGAATCTTAACGTGGTCTGTTTTTATTCAAACATATATATATATATATATATATATATATATATATATATATATATATATATATATATATATATGTATGTGCGTGTGTGTGTGTGTGTCCAAAATCGGCGAAAAAAAACTACCCAGGTTTCAAATAAACGGAAAATCAGGTTAAGTTCCGTTTAGGTGAAACCTAGGTAGGTTTTCTAATTTTCTTTAGTATTTATTTTATGTGCCCCAGCTCTGCTTAGCGTATTGAGCACTCGAAGTTTTAGCTTTACTACACGCTTGATTTTTTTTCTTTGGACCAAAGACTCAAGGTACTCCACGATTAGCTTCACCCAGCTATAATATTTGAAGTTCATTCTTTTTTTTTTCCAAAATTTTTTCTCGGGTACCGATTTGTCTTGACATATCTACAAGTTGCGCTATCGAGTTTTTTTCCAACCAAGTATTACTATATATTATACTATATATATATGTATATATATATATATATATATATATATATATATATATATATATATTGACCAGAGTCTGTCTATATTT